TTTTTTGTTCACCATATTTCCCTTACATTATACAATCTCCAGCCCATAGAGGATTGGTTGGAGGAAACAAAAATATAAAAGAACTGTAAAATACATATAGCATAGAATGGATGGAGACACCGAAGTACCTGTGCTCTCAATTTTATAACCTCCTGGCTAAGACTATCGTTTGATGTTTTCACATCACTGGACGCATTCTTAGGCGATGTAAGTCCTCCCAGAGTAGGAGTCGGGGTAGTCGAACGAGGAGGACTGGCTCGTCTTGATATAGGAGACGTTGCTCGAGAAACAATTCTAGATCCAGGAACGGAAGCTGAGAAAAATTTTTTGGATGACCCAAATATTGGATTGAACGACTTTGAGATACTTTGCCCTCCCCATTGGGAGCTTCCATTTGGGATTGGTGATACACGGCTGCTGTTAAATTCCAGTTTCTTGTTCTTCTTTGAGAAGCGGTTCTCTACTTGTTTGAAGGATTCCATTGAAGAGAACCTGCCCATCTGGGGACGAGGCCTGATATCCAACTTCTCATCATTGCCTATAGCATCATTCGTCCCTGGATTCAAACTTCCTCGCCTGCTGACAGATGAATGAGATGATGCATCGGTTTCAATGGCTTTTTTCAATTTAATCAGACAATTATCACAGACACGATAAGGTTTATTGGGATTTGGCGCCATGGAAGCCTTGAGCGACTTCTTGCTGCTGCATGAATGACAAAACACGAGTCCACAGTTGTAACAGTTGTGACGTTTTCTTTTGAAGTTAAATGGCAAGCGGCAACCAGAGCACATGGATTGATCCACCCCCGAGACCCATTTGTGAAGGCAAATAGCAGCGGTAAAATTAGTACCACATGCAATACTCTTTACCTGCTTGTCCTTCAAAGCTTCCACCAGAGTTGGGGAGTTCCTATCATCCACATCCCCATGACCCAATCTACCATTTGCTCCCTTGCCCCATGTATAAACTTCAGTTCTTGAAGTCAACACGGCCACATGATAGGCTCCACATGCTATCTCCTCCACAAAACTCTTCATAAGTTTACCTTCAACACGGGAAGGGAGCTTCCCCTCAGCTTGAGGGTTTCCCAGCTGCCCGTAAACCGGGCTGCCCATAGTGTATACTTGGCCAGAAGTCGTTAGAGCAACGGTCAGGCTGTGTCCACAAGCCACCTGGCAAAAATTTGGTTCGACAAGTGCAGCAACACAGGTCGGGACAAGTCTTGATTCCTTGTCCCCATGCCCGAGTCGGCCCTTGTCACCATCTCCCCACGTGAAAAGCTTGCCAGAAGAACAATTACTGGAACTCGAGCTCCCAACCATAACCTCAACAACAGCAGCAGTATGCCAAACACCACATGCCGCCCGTACAGTGCGGAGACCCTTCAGGGACTCCACTTCCCTAGGTACTGAAGTACTTTCCCTATCTCCATGCCCAAGAACCCCGAAAGTTCCATCTCCGAAGGTAAACAACTGTCCTGCAGATGTCACAACAGCTGTATGCCAAGGCCCGCATGAAATTGAAGACACGTGTATCCCCTCCAGAGGTCCATTAACTCTTTTGGGCACCCAATGACTCACTTCATTCCCGTGCCCTAGGAGGCCAAAATGACCATTGCCCCACGTGTACAAATCGCCTGAAAGTGTGACAGCACAAGAATGGTACTCAGCGCAAGCAACAAGCTCGATGTTTGTACTACTAAGCGTGTCAATTAACTTAGGGTGCATGACATCAGCATCCACACCATGACCGAGCCTACCTCCCGACTCTTCACCCCAAGAGAATATCTCTCCTTGTTTTGTCACCAGGGAGGCATGCCGCCCACCGCAAGCAATGTTCTGAACATCTAACACGACTGCAGATTCCAATGCCTTGGGCAGCATTGAGTCCATCTTGATACCCAAACTATTACACACTCTGTGGGGCCCACCACCAATTATTCCATCACCCGTTCCTTCTCCCCAAATGAAAACATCCCCCAAGGCATCGGCATCATCATGACCAGAGCCTTGACTCGATGAGCTTACAGCACTGGAGAGACTTACTCTAAAGCCATCCACTGCCATTCCTTTCATTTGACCGTGCATGCTATCCGAGCCTCCCGATGAAACTGAATGGGCAGAAGCACTGGCAGAATCTGAAGGGAAGAAACCCTTGGATGGCATAGCATACAAAGCAACATCTGAAAATGCCTTGTCCAGACCATTTTTTGGAGGACTGTCATAGGGAGTATGGAGGCGAATTTGGCTAGATCCATCCTGCTCAAGTGGAGTAAGATATGTTTATATAAGCATTTTCAAGAAGAAAACATATTCTAATAAATATTTTTGAGTCCACATATCCCTATACGCAAACAGTTGAAAAAAAAATTGTAGTTTCACCTTGTGCAAGCCATCAGCACTTCCAAATGGGGAATTAAGTGGAGAACTTCTTCTCGTGTATGTTCTGGGACTAGTTGCTCCAGATGAAATTCCATCACTCCTCGATTCTGTTCTCCACCTACGTTGATGACTGCGGGAAGTCAATGCCTTAAGCCCGCTAAACCATACCTCTGCTTCTTCCTTATCCTTGCATATCTACCGAAGGAAAAAATTGGTATTCAGAATAACAGTACAAGAACCAAACAAGAACAAAATATTTGTTTCTTAAGAAACATTGTCATAACAAATGAAATCTTACCAAATCAAGGGATCTGTCATTGTATATAAGCGAAAAAGACTGATATTCCTTCTCAGGCCGTGGATACCTCTGAAAAATTGGCTGCCAGAATAAGATAACCAGAGTTTACCAGAAGTATAGTTCAGATACACAAGGTTCCAGAATAGAAGAAGAAATCTAACTGGATAAGCTCCACATAGAATAATTATTTGATCATACCCACTATTTTATAAGAAAACAGTCAATTGGGATCTTTGAAATAAAGCTCAGTGGGGACTGGTAGTTTAGATCTCAATTAATAAAAGCATAGGTCTGAAAATCCCTATCTTAATGCATCTTTTTTGACATTTTAGTGCATGCAAGGACATGTTTCTTAACTTATCAGCAAGTTAATAAAGATAATATCACAGGAGTTAGCCAAGTTAACAGTCCCTAAGCATCACTAATCAGAGTAGTTGGTGCCATAGCCACAACTTATAAATCATTATGCACATAGAAATCAACAATACATTGATAAAAGCAAGTCAACAAAAATACATAAAAGCAGATAGGAACAGTGAAAATCACCAGACAAGAAATGGTGATAAATTTTAGGGGAAAGATTCTCTGTTGTGAACTTTCAAGTGGGTTCATCAACACGGAATAGCGAGTACAACTTCATGAAGAACTATGTTCAGTACCGATTTGGGCATGAGATGATATGCATTTCAGGTAGTAAAGTGTGGTTAGTTACATGAAAAATTACAAAGAAGCTATAAACCTAATTAAATATAATAGGAGAACAATACTCTTTTGAAACAGAACATAAGTAACAGAAAACTTTAAGATCCATTTATCTGATATGGGAACATAATTGCTAGTATCTATTATATGACCAGTTCACTGAAATCTTGGTTGCTGGATAAGGGAGACATCTAACATCGTCTCTATCACATCCATTTGTAACTCATAGTCTACTTTTGGCATAAGCATGTGAAGATTTCTCCTTTTCCTTTATCAGAAACAGGTTGCTCCAACCTACCCTAAAGCACAAACTTTAGGATATATCTTCTTTTTTTTTTGGCAAATTTAGGACATATCTTCAATATATGAAGATGTATGACAGCATCAATTTGATTATAGCAAATGATTATTCATCTTCACAAGAAAATTGACATTTGAATTCACAAAGAAGACAGCTAAACAAAGATGAAGATTTTGGAAAGATTAAGCTAAACCATTGTACAAAAAAACTGTTCTAAGAGTATTTAATAACTGTCAAGTTCCTATAAACCAAATAAATGAAGGCATGAGAGCAAAGAGTTATTGAGCACTTGGAGACTTACAGTCCGCTGACCAGATATAATCCTTGACACATGACTAAGTTTAAGTTTTTTCTCTTCTTTACCCGAGTACCATAGCAAAACAGATTCATCCTGGAGTAAGGGCATCGAGTCATTAGATGTTCTCAATACATCACAACAATCAAAGCAAGAGTCACAGCTCTTTCCACATAAGGCAACAGAAAACTGGTAATAACTTCAGAACAACCATAAATATAATCTTATCAATATAATATATATAAATATACACAAACATGTAGATTATTCTATGATGACATTCAAAAACTCTTAATAAGGAAACAATGGAAACGAATTAAAAGAGCTAAAATTTATCACTTCAGAACTATAAACATTAATTAAATTCATCAAGAAACTGCTGCAGCATCAGTTGCTCCAAGTCTGCAACATTTTAGCAACTAATCTGTTAGAAGTTACGTTAGTCCCACATCGACTAGTTACTGGTATGTTATTGTGTATAAGTGTGGGTTGGACACCCTCTCCCTTTGAACTAGCTAAGGGATTTGTTCTGCTCAGGCCCATTTATCAAGATATCAGAGCACCCAACTTTGTTTTTTGAGAGAAGATGTTTGGTTTGATGTGCTGCGAGTGAGGGCGGGTGTTAGAAGTTATGTTTGTCCCGCATCATTTAGTTATTAAGTTGTTATTGTGTACAAGTGTGGGTTGGACACCCTCTCCCTTTTAGCAAGCTATTATTATTTTTTTTATTATTATTATTTTTTTTTTTGGTGGATGTTCTACCCAACCCATTTATCATAATTACTAATTACCAACAATAAGAGGCTTCTAGAAAAAAAGATTACGTAGGAGCTGATGAAGTTTCATTTCACCCTTTTTATTGCAAAGCCAGTAAAACAAAAATACAAGTTCTACTATAATTAGTTGCTTACATTTGCCAGACGAAACGGACAAAATTTAGGCTTTCCTCTTCTTCCATACTTGAGCAAGTGAGCACCTTTCTTAAGAGCAGTAATTGCCTGTTGTAAAAACCACGAAAACCTAAATTAAACACAACCAGTGCACTTTGCAAGGTAACAAACTAAAGCAAGTTATCAACCAAATAAGCTTACAAAATGGAAAATTGATAGGTAAAAGGGTAATATATTGTCTTTGCAAATCAATGCAAGTGTGTCCTTAAATATTTATAGAAGTTCTATAATAAAACACAATCCGGTATGCACAAATTAGCTAGCATGCAATGAAATTAAATCCATTATAACTAGACAATTCGAAGCTCCAATAAAGGACAGTGTAAGTTCAACATAAAGTTTGCCTAGTTAACTCAAAATAAAACACAGAAATCAGCAATGAATTTATAAATCTGAAGCTATGAACTAACTTGGACATTACAAAAGGCTAAGGGTGGATTAGCAAACAAAAAATATTTGTATACATAAGAGCAGATTGAAAGCAAAACAAACTTTGGCATGGACCCAGAATCATATGTTGTGTCTGCTCCAGTGATTTCATGCAAGTGTTCTTTCAGCTTCCACAACTTGTTCAAACCGGACGCTCTTACAAGCTATTTTCTAGAATATAACTTCTGGGGCATTTTGAAAACCAAAATCTAATCACAATGTTCTTGATATATCAGAATTCTGTTGTCTCATCTAAATTAAATCAACTATTTGTTACATGAAAACAAAGTAACAAATTAAAAAACCCACAACTGTTGGAAAAACTAACAATTAGTGTTAATGTTAAGAAAGGAAAAAGATTCGTGGTAAAGACAAGATATATTCGGGCCAAAAAAATGATCCTATAATTAAGAACAAGAGATCTTTCTCGATCAATCCCCTTGCCCCCTCATTCTTCGAGAATCAGAAAGGTCCTTTTCTCTCTAACCTTACACTACTGAGAGCTCTTTCTTCCAAAACCTTTATCCCTCGGCGCGTTATATCCACAAATATAGGGCAGATTACCAAACAAACATGATCTTGTGGGAAAGACTAAGGCGCTTGCATGCTGCGGTGCTAAGTACAAAAAAAAAATCGGCAGTAAAAGGGTTAATGTACAATGTTGTGGCCATTTTCCTTTCAGTTTAGTGAATATTTGGGAATTTATTACCCTCTACATCACTTAATCAGAGAACTAATTACCGGATAACAGCTCACATCCCGGACTTCAACAATAGTACAGCACAAACAGACATTCAATAAAAACTTAAAAATACCTGCTCAATATCTCTCTCGACTGGACCACCAGCTCGGCCGACGTCCGGGTTGCTCATCCTATCGCCGTTCCGTGACGTCACAAAACGAATTCCCTCTTCCCCAGACAAGCCCTAAATCTATCCATCCGCCATCCGCAGCTCATCCAGCACACTCCAATCAACCATGTCCAACATGGAAAGGAGGAACCGCAAGAATTAATCACCGCAAGCACGTGTTCCGAGCTGCACAATAACAAACTAGGCTTGATCTTCCGACGGGTTTGCAGAGTGATGCAACCAAGTGAAGACTGCGAGAAGCAAATGCAAAAGACGGGTATCGTGGTAATTTTGAAGCACTTCTGACGGCTGGTTGAGCTCGATGTGCGTCTATGGAGGATCACTTTCGATCTGATGATCAACAAATTTATGCAGCATTAAAAAGAGTATATAGCAGTAGTATCATTTCCTCGGCCAAGAGAGGAAAAGCGGGTGGAGTGGTGGACTAATGGAACTGTGGCCTAATTTCATATTTTATTCTTTTTTACGTTTTTTTTCTTAGTACAACACTCGTGTACTACATTAGTGCTTTTTAAAAATTTAGTCTTACATTTTAAAATTAATGAGAAAATATGTTTTTAATTTTATATAGTTTATAAATTATATTTTATTATATATGTTAGAATGACACTTGTTGCTTGTACGACTTACTTGTGTTATATTATAATGATTTTTAAATTCATACCATATAGCTATTTTAAACATAATTATATTAATTAGCAAACAATTTTTTAATATTAGAAAATAATTTTAATAATAAAAATAATTTTTTATTTTATACATACAATATGGATGTCAAGTCGAAATTGATCAAAAAAATGATTAATTTGATATACTATACATGTAAAACTGATAAAAAATATAAAAGTTATTAAAATAAATTTACAATGTTATAATAGAAAATAATATTAAAATACAATTAATGCATCTAAAATGACCATAAATAATCAACATATCTATATCTATATCTATATCTATATAAAAAAAGAATTTATTTACCAAAAATAGTAACAAAAAAAGTCAACAAGCATTTATTGCATTCTATTTTTGGCAATCTTTTTACTTTCTTTTTAATTATTCCCAAAAAATCGACCAGCTCTATGTGCACCATAAATTCAAGGGTTTTGTGAATTTAATTTAAGCAAATTTCGATTGATGCTTACAATTTTGCAAAAGTCAAAATTCATTCTCATTTTTTATTAAAAAAATCTAATTACCATAAGATTGTGAATTTTGAATTAAGCAAAAAATACTATCACATATATCTTTTTTCTAATGACAACAAATTAATTGTTTATTAATCGAATAACAGGGTTAATTTAGGTAAAATTCGGCATATCAATTTTGTAAAAGTTGTTATCATCCGACTCGGCAAAACACCATTAAGAAGTTTCAAGCATCATGTTAAGTGTAATTAACTATTGAACCGACGTGATCCGAAGCCACATCAGTCCATGCAATGAACCGGTTTGAACTCCCGAAGACCGAAGTAACCTACACTTACCGACATTAACTTAAATCAAGGTCATCACCTGCCGAGGTCAACTGAAACCGAGGTCGTCACCTCCTAAAGCAGGTGACAAGGCGCCTACACACACCTATCACAATCCACGAGATTTGTCATCATTCACGTGGGACCCACTGCTCCAACCGCCCATCAAAAAGTTACTTTATACGAAAAATAATACACGAATCTCAAGGTGTCTATCAAAAAAGCTACTATAAATAGCGAGCCTATGACATTTGTACGGGGATCCCCGAATTCATAAATATGCAACACGTAACAGCCTATAAAGGCTTTTCACCTCGGTTCACCTCGGACCGGGGCCATTGTTGAACAACCCTTACATGCTTTACGTTGAAACCACTTAAAATTATCCCATAAACTCAACTTTAAATCGTTGTTAAGACACATACGACAACAGTTTGGCGCTAGAAGGAGGGCCCTCATAAGTAATTTGAGGTTAATCTCCGCTTTTTTAAGTAACGAGTCACATTAGTCATATTCATTATGTCACGTTCGGATCATCGTGGTAATACTTCACGAGACGGCCACAGTCGCAGCGCTGCCCACTCCGTCAGACGACAAGCCGTAGCTC